CTCATCGGCTATCAAAGAAGTTTCTGCCACACTGGACAGGACCGCATGAGATTGTGGACAAACTCTCCCCTGTTGCATATCGGATCAAGCTGAGTCGGGGACAGAAAGAACCAGTTTTCAAATGGGTCCATCGTAACCAGATCAAGAGACATGTGGCTGCTGGCAGGGAAGGACAGGGGGGAGCTAGTGCTAACTAGGCCTTGCTATAGTCCTCAAACAAAGACTGTTTCGAACAGACAAGAACTTCCCTCACTGATCCACTGCCTTTCTCCCTTTTCTCTGAACCAGGATGCTGCTGTGGCTCTCCATCCTCTGCCTCCAGCTAAACAGAGGACAGCCGCAACCCGATATCACATCACCAGGTCCAGCATCAGGCATTGCACTGAGGGACCAACCTGGACTTCTTATGACCAACTGTAGGACTCACACCCAGAAGGTGTACGTCCGACTCGACCCCCGAAATGTCTACCGGACACATTATCCCCGGGCAGCTGCACACTACAGTTGGGCAGGTGCCCAATGGACTGAGAATACCCTCGCTCACGCAGAAGCCGATATCAAACACATGCTCTCTCAGTTGCAGAAAATGACTGTCACTCAAGCAGAGCTAAGCGGACATAACAGGCGTGACAAACGATTCCTAGGGGCCTTGCTCGGAGCTGCTGCTGCTGTTGGAACCCTGTTCAACCTGGGAGTGACCAGTGTCAACTCCGTGAGCCTATCTACCCTGAGGCAACATGTAAGGGAGATCCAGACTGAGATGCCCCAGCTGAGAGAACAACTCACACTACAGAGCCAAACCCTACAGACTATAGGCAAATCATTGAAGGGCACCCTGGTGGTTCTGAACACCCACAGTGTCCTGCTGAACCAAACTGTAAACTCCGTGAAACAGTTATTCTCTGTTATACAGAATGATGTTGCCCAAACTCAGCTGGTCACCGCACTGATGTCTGACATGCTCCGTGAGGTGAGCTCCTCCATTGACAGCCTAGCCATGGGTAGAATTCCTCCGTATCTGGTGCCCCTGAGCCTAGTACAAACAGTGTTATCCTCTGTAACTACCCGTCCAGCTGACCCTCTTCAAGCCCACCTTGCCTACTCCCTGGGAGGGTCCATCCTGCTACATGTTGACCCTGAGCAGAGCGAGATGGCGTTTCTTCTGAATCTACCCATCATTGAATCTGACAACATTTACAGACTCAAAGACATTGTCAATGTTGGATTTTGGCAGGGAAACACTCACATCAGAATACACACACCAGATATGGTAGCCTACCACGACAATAACCCACAGTTATACCTGGCCCCAAACCTGCGCATGTGTACCCTGACCAAAGACATTCATTATCTCTGCCCCAGCAAGCCCTTCCTTCGAGACAACACTGAAGGAATCTGCGGGTTACAACCCATGCAAAGAGAAACACTCTGCCCCGCTGAGGCCAAGCCTCGCACACAAGTCACAGAAACGCAAGCAGAGATTGTGGCAAATCAGTGGCTCGTCAACACGCCCATCCGTACCGCCACACTGACCTATGACCAGCACGACACTGCCACCCGTGTCAGTCTGCCCAACCAGAGTATGTGGATTCACGTGCCCAAAGGTGCCATCCTCCACCTCGGTGACCTGGCGCTGTACCACCTTCCAAGTGAAGAGTACCAATCCGAGGTAGAAATGCCAGCCTTCTTCAGGGACCACAATCTCACCATGGAACCTGAATTGGAACTGAGCATTGAGAAAGGGGGGTCACAGACGATTGACATCACCCCAATCGACACAGCCCTCCAAGCACTGTCTCGGATGCCTGTCCAGAACACCTTTCCCGTCGCTCGATCCTGGACCTCTGCCGACACGGCACTTTGCCTTGCCACAGCAATCGGGTACACCCTAACCCTCGGCCTTGCTTTTGTCCTGTTTAACAGAGTCAACGGGGTGCAAAGGTCCATGAACAGGTGCACAGCTGCCCTTCCTCGAACCTTCAAACGGAGCCACCGGAAGAGAGGGACCCAGGCGGAGACAATGCTGAACCTGACCAAGGTTAACACCCACGCTGAGGATCCGAAGGCTGAGGAAAAGTAGGATCCACCTGCCATCTGTCAATCCTGATCCACCTGCCATCTGAAAATTAGGATCCACCTGCCATCCGGCCTTCAGGATCCACCTGCCATCTAGCCATTATGATCCACCTGCTACCCGATCATCATGATCCACCTGCTGTCCGACCATCATGAAAACTGTTGTCTGACGATGTTGCAGGTGAACTTCGTCAGTCAAAAGGGGGGCTGTAGCGTCTGCATAGAATCATGCATGATCTTTGGGGTTTTATGGCTTAAGAGACCCTTTTAGCTTTTGACATTTGCATATAAATTACAGTCCTGGTCACAGACTTTACACTTATATGGGTGCTAAATGGCCAATGGTTCCCCCCACTATCAAGGAGATGCTAAACAGTTTCACCACTCGCACCTTCATGTGGGGTTTCAAACACATTCCAAAGAGACGTAAATGACCCCCGGGGCCAGGCACAACAGGCCAGGCCGGCTGACCAAGCAAACTAACACACACACACACAAACACACACACACATAAAGACCGTTACTCTATTATACTCTACAAATATATCTGGTATATTGCATGTGTTGTTTGTATGTTTCCCTATTAGATTAGCTGAGTTACCACTCGTATTTGTATTAGTTAAAGCCCTAAAACACTGATCTTCAGGTGTATGTATGTATCTTTGGTTTAATCTATTCTAAATGTTTGTTTCTTGGTATCAAAATGATCTGCTATCTATTTCTCAAACAATGATGTACAGTATGTGATTGTGAAACGCATCATACGATTTATACTATATTTTGGGTTAAAACGGCAGCAATTCCAGACCGGCCATAAAACATGCAAATGGGCCATAAAAGGGAAACAAAGGAAACTTCTCCCGCTCAAAATTCATGCCTCTGATTGGCCATTCCACCTAAAAGGGGGTGTGAATACAAACCCTCAAAAGGCATTAGCCCGAAATAATCTGGGCTCAGAAACCCTCTTCGCGTGAGACAACACCTTTTCCAAGACTCTCAAGATCTTCCTCTTGAGTTTTATTTTCCGGCAGTTTTTATCTTCAAGTAACTTTAGTCGCTGTGGACTTTTCCTTCTTCAGAAGAACCAGAAGTAAAACTTCCAGCTCACTCCTAACGAATCCATCAAAGACCTCCGTTGTCTATCGCATCCGGACAATCGAAACCAATGCAAGTAACCGTTTACAATTATTTAGATGCGTGTTTAAGTTTCAGCCCCTTTTAAGGTGATTTTTGATTCTCTGATGTTTCTCAAAGGTTGTGTCTAAAATTGATGTGAAATACTGCCATCCTTTTCTTTTCTCTCTTTTCCTTACTTTGTTTCATTCTGTATGTGTTTTGCTTAGTTAGTTATATGTTAGATATAGTTTCATTTATTAAATCCCTTATATTCACAACTGATTGTCTCTGTTTGCTGCTCACAATTCGAAGTCAATGAATGTGTGAACCCTTGCTACATTTTGCTAAATTACTGCTAGCACTGCACAAAGAAGGACAGATTATTCTTCCTTGGCCAGGAAAATAATCTTTCTTTGAATTGATAAATGATTATTTTGTCTGCTCGGTGGACGGACAGATCAAGTAATGGTAATATTGATTCTGCTACAGTTAATTCAAAGATCTAATCTAAATATTTATTATGAATCATAACCAGTTATAATTCGTCATAAATATTTCCCTTTTTGAGTTGAAAAACCCTACAGTTTTGGTGGAGATACGCGGGCACATTCAAACTTGGTTTGTGAGCAAACAGTATCAATTTATTTGTGTTTTTATATTATGCGCGCTTAGAGTGAGACAAGTCGCAGCGCGAACTCACTCTTTTGGATTGGATGGTTAAAAGCCACCTCCAGTACTGTATTTTAACAGCCTCTATTTGTCTAACATTTAGTCACTGTTAATTGTTAAAGTAAACTGCAGTTCATAATATTAAAATTGTTCTCTAAAGACGAAGGAATCTCTTTACAGTACATTTTAATATTATCAAAATCGCCTGTTGGAACGAAGAAATCTTCCTGCATTGCGATAAAGATAGATTTGAGCGATGCTCCTCTTATCATCTTTTAAAGGCCTTATTTTGATCGTATCGCTAGATTGAAGTCATTGCGAAGTTCCAATTTCATTTAACTAGACGATCTAACTCCCTTAGGTTTAACCATCAGAGTAGCTATCTAATGCGTGCCTAAATGCAGATTTGATCATAAGAACACTGTAAGCCAGTAGACGGATTGAAATGTAAATGGGAGCTTTTAAAACCTTGATCAAGTGAAATTTGCATAACAACAGCGAAGAAACCCTGTTGTTCATATTGTTGATATGTGTACTGGCAGCGAAGAAATCCTGCTACACACCATTAAGCAGTTAAGTTGCACAAACCGTAAGAATCTGTTGGGATTTGACTCTCAATGTTCTTGTGATAACTGCAGTAAATTTCGTTAGAATGAGAATAGTCTCACACTAAACGCTATCAGTCTAAGCACGATTGGAGTTAAGGCACAGTACCTTAAACTAACACTAGAGGGCAGGCTGTTTAAGTATCTAACACTTCTTGAACTCCTTCTACCTTCCTGTTTTCACCTTGGGTGGGCGCACCCACTCCCCCTTGTGGGCATTCTCTGCTAGGTCGACTTGGTACTCTAATTTGTTGATTTTAATTTCCCTTCTGCTTCATCGGTCATTATCATTCTAGCCATTCTAGTTACCTGCAGTTTCATTTTTAATTTTATTTATTCATTTATTTTTATTTCTTGTTTTCGTATTAGTTTTTCATATCCAGTACTATTTTTGTTTTACTTTATTATCTTTTATTACTTTTATAATTTTGTTTATTTTGTTGTTTTGTTCCCTTTTTATTTATTATTTTTTTTTATTTTATTATTTTAATTTTTAATTTTTAATCAGGGTTCTCTCCCCCTTTTCTCTCTCACTTTACCACTCACTTATTTAAATTTAGTTTAAACAGTGTTTGAATTCAAATTTAAAGTTAATTTCTGTATTCTAGCCATTTTTGTTCACCTATAGGTAACACTCCCTCTAGTGCTTAGTTGGTGAAGTGACAGTTGCCTCCACGGCGGATCGCAGTGAGCTGCCACGGGATCCAGATTGAATCACCTCAATCCATCACTAAGCCTAGCCATAGAATACTGACCCAAAATTAGGGTGCTCCTAAATCTTTAAGGTAATTAGCCGCTCCACAGGCTGCCACACTAGATGTTATGACCCAGCAGCGCCCTCTACTCGGTAGGCCCTGTCATAACCCCTAACAGCAGTAAAAGGCTTAAACCTGCTCTCTCCTCTATCCCTCTCTGTGTTTTGATTTGTTGATTTGTTTGTTTTTCATTTTGTTCTGTTTTGTTTGCCTAGAGACCGAACCTTTGAGAATCATCAGGGAAGGCTGAGTAATAGATTGACGACCCAAGCTGCCAAAGTCTTAAGACGATCACGCTGTCAACAATCTGAGTTAGATCCTTTCCGGTGCCCCCCCCACAACAATTAGACACACCGTGCCATTCACGGCCGAGATAACAGGTGTCTGGTCTACACTCCGCAAACTGTTTGTACTCCTCAGACAGACCGTGCATAGAACGTATAATTACTATAATTGCAGCCTGCTAACGCTGTAAGGACTTGCATTGGCCTTTTCGTGCTGTCCCTCTCTCCCTCTCTCCCTCTCTCTCTCTCTCTCCCTCTCTCTTTTCACCAGTGAGCCAGCATGTCTCGATCATCCAGCCCTGATGCCCACTGGGATCGACTAGCGTCCTGGCTGAGTGCCATAACTGGTACACTCCTGTCTGAAGCAGCCGGCGGCCTGCAGCACCTGAGCCGGGAACAGCTCGACGACAACCTGAGCGCCCTGATGTCACACGATCCGACACAGGACTACAGCCACAAAGATCTCACCAAGATCCTCGGGCCCCTCGCCCACAACCTCCTCGCTCAGGCAAAGCTGGGAGAAGCAAGCATCTCCCGCATGGAACAGGAAGCAGCAGCGCTGAAGCTCCAGGCTGAGGAGGCTCAGAGAAACCTGGTGCTTGCTCAAAGTCAACTGGACCAGCTAACGTCGGAGACTCAGCACCAGCACAGGACGGCGGATGAAAAGGACCCAGAGCTGCAGGAGGAAGTAGAAAGACTCCAGAAAGCCTTAACTGATCTCCGTGTAGACACAACACGCCGAGAGCAGTGGGAAAAGGACACCAGAGAGGAACTAAGTGAAAAACTTCAGCGAGCCGAGGCTCTCCTGATGAGAGCAGAGACTGAACTCAAAGAGAGAGATGCTAGGGCCAGGGCCTGTGAAGGCCACCTGCAAAGTTCCCGGGCTGAAGTCAGTGCCCTGGCCCAACAAAGAGACTATTTAAAAGATGAACTTGATACGGTTCACCGAGAGCTTAAATATGCATATAGACTGCAAAGTGACTCTGAAAGGGAAATGCACACCACAGAATTTCCCCTAACCAGCAGATTGATACCTCCTAGTCAAGGGTTTCCAGTTCGAAAGGGGGGTGAGAGCCCACTGCTCAAGACATCACCTGCCAGCATCCCTGAACCCCCAGCAGCAGCAAGGGGGTGGGAGCCTTTTCAAAGGCTGTCTTCCAGTCACGGCGTGTCACCTAAAGAATTGGATAAGCTGGCTAGAAACATTCCCACTTTCACTCCAAACCCTGCAGGAGGCCACGATGTGCACGCCTACTTAAAAGACATTGACTTTCACTTGCAAACTGTTGCCAATGTTACCACACGAGACAGACTCTATCTGCTCCGAATCACCGCTAGCCGTGAGGTGAGGAGCTTTCTAGACCGGCAGCCAGAAACGGTCGAAGTGGATTACCAGCAAATGCAGCAGGCTCTGATTAAGGAGTTCTCTGACCCAGAGTCAGAGCAAGGACTGATTACTGCCATGGACCTTAAACAGGGCAGACAGGAAACCACACAGGCTTACTACAACAGGCTCAGACAGGCCTACTTCGGAGCACGGAACGAGCCAGGAATGGAACAGGATTTCAACTTCAAAATTCTGTTCCTCCGGAACCTGCACCCAACAGTGAGCCACCACTTGGGGGTTCTGGCTTGCCCACGGACTATGTCCACCCAACAGCTGCGAGATTTGGCCCATAAGGCCTATGTTAAACAAAAGACTGCTTCTGAAAAGACAGGAAAAAACCCCACAATCTATCCTGTCACTAATCAGAGTTCTGAACTTGCTCTAGAGGGCGCCGAGCCAAGCCACACTGACAAACCTGTCAACACAATGTCAAGGTCCTTCCCAACCAGCAGAGAGCAGCATGGCCATGGTGGTGCCCGTCCTAAGCACCAGTATGAGCGCCCCGAGAGATCCTGGGACAGGTCACAACCACCCCTCAACCGAAACTCACAGTGTCCTGCTGAACCAAACTGTGAACTCCGTGAAACAGTTATTCTCTGTTATACAGAATGATGTTGCCCAAACTCAGCTGGTCACCGCACTGATGTCTGACATGCTCCGTGAGGTGAGCTCCTCCATTGACAGCCTAGCCATGGGTAGAATTCCTCCGTATCTGGTGCCCCTGAGCCTAGTACAAACAGTGTTATCCTCTGTAACTACCCGTCCAGCTGACCCTCTTCAAGCCCACCTTGCCTACTCCCTGGGAGGGTCCATCCTGCTACATGTTGACCCTGAGCAGAGCGAGATGGCGTTTCTTCTGAATCTACCCATCATTGAATCTGACAACATTTACAGACTCAAAGACATTGTCAATGTTGGATTTTGGCAGGGAAACACTCACATCAGAATACACACACCAGATATGGTAGCCTACCACGACAATAACCCACAGTTATACCTGGCCCCAAACCTGCGCATGTGTACCCTGACCAAAGACATTCATTATCTCTGCCCCAGCAAGCCCTTCCTTCGAGACAACACTGAAGGAATCTGCGGGTTACAACCCATGCAAAGAGAAACACTCTGCCCCGCTGAGGCCAAGCCTCGCACACAAGTCACAGAAACGCAAGCAGAGATTGTGATAAATCAGTGGCTTGTCAACACGCCCATCCGTACCGCCACACTGACCTATGACCAGCACGACACTGCCACCCGTGTCAGTCTGCCCAACCAGAGTATGTGGATTCACGTGCCCAAAGGTGCCATCCTCCACCTCGGTGACCTGGCGCTGTACCACCTTCCAAGTGAAGAGTACCAATCCGAGGTAGAAATGCCAGCCTTCTTCAGGGACCACAATCTCACCATGGAACCTGAATTGGAACTGAGCATTGAGAAAGGGGGGTCACAGACGATTGACATCACCCCAATCGACACAGCCCTCCAAGCACTGTCTCGGATGCCTGTCCAGAACACCTTTCCCGTCGCTCGATCCTGGACCTCTGCCGACACGGCACTTTGCCTTGCCACAGCAATCGGGTACACCCTAACCCTCGGCCTTGCTTTTGTCCTGTTTAACAGAGTCAACGGGGTGCAAAGGTCCATGAACAGGTGCACAGCTGCCCTTCCTCGAACCTTCAAACGGAGCCACCGCAAGAGAGGGACCCAGGCGGAGACAATGCTGAACCTGACCAAGGGTAACACCCACGCTGAGGATCCGAAGGCTGAGGAAAAGTAGGATCCACCTGCCATCTGTCAATCCTGATCCACCTGCCATCTGAAAATTAGGATCCACCTGCCATCCGGCCTTCAGGATCCACCTGCCATCTAGCCATTATGATCCACCTGCTACCCGATCATCATGATCCACCTGCTGTCCGACCATCATGAAAACTGTTGTCTGACGAAGTGTGCAGGTGAACTTCGTCAGCCAAAAGGGGGGCTGTAGCGTCTGCGTAGGATCATGCATGATTTTTGGGGTTTTATGGTTTAAGAAGACCCTTTTAGCTTTTGACATTTGCATATAAATTACAGTCCTGGTCCCAGACGTCACACTTATATGGGTACTAAATGTCAAATGGTTCCCCCCCACTCTCAAAGAGATGCTAAACAGTTTCACCACTCGCACCTTCATGTGGGGTTTCAAACACATTCCAAAGAGACGTAAATGACCCCCGGGGCCAGGCACAACAGGCCAGGCCGGCTGACCAAGCAAACTAACACACACACAAACACACACACACATAAAGACCGTTACTCTATTATACTCTACAAATATATCTGGTATATTGCATGTGTTGTTTGTATGTTTCCCTATTAGATTAGCTGAGTTACCACTCGTATTTGTATTAGTTAAAGCCCTAAAACACTGATCTTCAGGTGTATGTATGTATCTTTGGTTTAATCTATTCTAAATGTTTGTTTCTTGGTATCAAAATGATCTGCTATCTATTTCTCAAACAATGATGTACAGTATGTGATTGTGAAACGCATCTTACTATTTGTAGCATATTTTGGGTAAAACTGCACCGATCTTCCAGACCAGCAATAAACATGCAAATGGGCCATAAACAAGAGACAAAGAAAGTTTCTCCCGCTCAAAATTCATGCCTCTGATTGGCCATTCCACCTAAAAGGGGGTGTGAATACAAACCCTCAAAAGGCATTAGCCCGAAATAATCTTTGCTCAGAAACCCTCTTCGTTTGAGACAACACCTTTTCCAAGACTCTCAAGATCTTCCTCTTGAGTTTTATTTTCCGGCAGTTTTTATCTTCAAGTAACTTTAGTCGCTGTGGACTTTTCCTTCTTCAGAAGAACCAGAAGTAAAACTTCCAGCTCACTCCTAACGAATCCATCAAAGACCTCCGTTGTCTATCGCATCCGGACAATCGAAACCAATGCAAGTAACCGTTTACAATTATTTAGATGCGTGTTTAAGTTTCAGCCCCTTTTAAGGTGATTTTTGATTCTTTGATGATTCTCAAAGGTTGTGGTTAAGTGATGTGAAATACTGCCAATCTTTTCTTTCCTCTCTCTTTTTCTTACTTTGCTTCATTCTGTATATATGTGTTTTGCTTAGTTAGTTATATGTTAGATATAGTTTCATTTATTAAATCCCTTATATTCACAACTGATTGTCTCTGTTTGCTGCTCACAATTCGAAGTCAATGAATGTGTGAACCCTTGCTACATTTTGCTAAATTACTGCTAGCACTGCACAAAGAAGGACAGATTATTCTTCCTTGGCCAGGAAAATAATCTTTCTTTGAATTGATAAATGATTATTTTGTCTGCTCGGTGGACGGACAGATCAAGTAATGGTAATATTGATTCTGCTACAGTTAATTCAAAGATCTAATCTAAATATTTATTATGAATCATAACCAGTTATAATTCGTCATAAATATTTCCCTTTTTGAGTTGAAAAACCCTACAGTTTTGGTGGAGATACGCGGGCACATTCAAACTTGGTTTGTGAGCAAACAGTATCAATTTATTTGTGTTTTTATATTATGCGCGCTTAGAGTGAGACAAGTCGCAGCGCGAACTCACTCTTTTGGATTGGATGGTTAAAAGCCACCTCCAGTACTGTATTTTTAACAGCCTCTATTTGTCTAACATTTAGTCACTGTTAATTGTTAAAGTAAACTGCAGTTCATAATATTAAAATTGTTCTCTAAAGACGAAGGAATCTCTTTACAGTACATTTTAATATTATCAAAATCGCCTGTTGGAACGAAGAAATCTTCCTGCATTGCGATAAAGATAGATTTGAGCGATGCTCCTCTTATCATCTTTTAAAGGCCTTATTTTGATCGTATCGCTAGATTGAAGTCATTGCGAAGTTCCAATTTCATTTAACTAGACGATCTAACTCCCTTAGGTTTAACCGTTAGAGTAGCTATCCAATGCGTTGCCTAATGCAGATTTGATCATAAGAACACTGTAAGCCAGTAGACGGATTGAAATGTAAATGGGAGCTTTTAAAACCTTGATCAAGTGAAATTTGCATAACAACAGCGAAGAAACCCTGTTGTTCATATTGTTGATATGTGTACTGGCAGCGAAGAAATCCTGCCACACACATCATTGTGCAGTTAAGTTGCACAAATTGTAGAATCTGTTGGGATTTGACTCTCAATGTTCTTGTGATAACTGCAGTAAATTTCGTTAGAATGAGAATAGTCTCACACTAAACGCTATCAGTCTAAGCACGATTGGAGTTAAGGCACAGTACCTTAAACTAACACTAGAGGGCAGGCTGTTTAAGTATCTAACACTTCTTGAACTCCTTCTACCTTCCTGTTTTCACCTTGGGTGGGCGCACCCACTCCCCCTTGTGGGCATTCTCTGCTAGGTCGACTTGGTACTCTAATTTGTTGATTTTAATTTCCCTTCTGCTTCATCGGTCATTATCATTCTAGCCATTCTAGTTACCTGCAGTTTCATGTTTAATTTTACTTATTCATTTATTTTTATTTCTTGTTTTTGTATTAGTTTTTCATATCCAGTATTATTTGTTTTACTTTATTCTCTTTTATTACTTTTATAATTTTGTTTATTTTGTTGTTTTGTTCCCTTTTTATTTATTATTTTTTTTTATTTTATTATTTTAATTTTTAATTTTTAATCAGGGTTCTCTCCCCCTTTTCTCTCTCACTTTACCACTCACTTATTTAAATTTAGTTTAAACAGTGTTTGAATTCAAATTTAAAGTTAATTTCTGTATTCTAGCCATTTTTGTTCACCTATAGGTAACACTCCCTCTAGTGCTTAGTTGGTGAAGTGACAGTTGCCTCCACGGCGGATCGCAGTGAGCTGCCACGGGATCCAGATTGAATCACCTCAATCCATCACTAAGCCTAGCCATAGAATACTGACCCAAAATTAGGGTGCTCCTAAATCTTTAAGGTAATTAGCCGCTCCACAGGCTGCCACACTAGATGTTATGACCCAGCAGCGCCCTCTACTCGGTAGGCCCTGTCATAACCCCTAACAGCAGTAAAAGGCTTAAACCTGCTCTCTCCTCTATCTCTCTCTGTGTTTTGATTTGTTGGTTTGTTTGTTTTTCATTTTGTTCTGTTTTGTTTGCCTAGAGACCGAACCTTTGAGAATCATCAGGGAAGGCTGAGTAATAGATTGACGACCCAAGCTGCCAAAGTCTTTAGACGATCACGCTGTCAACAATCTTAGTTAGATCCTTTCCGGTGCCCCCACAACAATTAGACACACCGTGCCATTCACGGCCGAGATAACAGGTGTCTGGTCTACACTCCGCAAACTGTTTGTACTCCTCAGACAGACCGTGCATAGAACGTATAATTACTATAATTGCAGCCTGCTAACGCTGTAAGGACTTGCATTGGCCTTTTCGTGCTGTCCCTCTCTCCCTCTCTCCCTCTCTCTCTCTCTCTCCCTCTCTCTTTTCACCAGTGAGCCAGCATGTCTCGATCATCCAGCCCTGATGCCCACTGGGATCGACTAGCGTCCTGGCTGAGTGCCATAACTGGTACACTCCTGTCTGAAGCAGCCGGCGGCCTGCAGCACCTGAGCCGGGAACAGCTCGACGACAACCTGAGCGCCCTGATGTCACACGATCCGACACAGGACTACAGCCACAAAGATCTCACCAAGATCCTCGGGCCCCTCGCCCACAACCTCCTCGCTCAGGCAAAGCTGGGAGAAGCAAGCATCTCCCGCATGGAACAGGAAGCAGCAGCGCTGAAGCTCCAGGCTGAGGAGGCTCAGAGAAACCTGGTGCTTGCTCAAAGTCAACTGGACCAGCTAACGTCGGAGACTCAGCACCAGCACAGGACGGCGGATGAAAAGGACCCAGAGCTGCAGGAGGAAGTAGAAAGACTCCAGAAAGCCTTAACTGATCTCCGTGTAGACACAACACGCCGAGAGCAGTGGGAAAAGGACACCAGAGAGGAACTAAGTGAAAAACTTCAGCGAGCCGAGGCTCTCCTGATGAGAGCAGAGACTGAACTCAAAGAGAGAGATGCTAGGGCCAGGGCCTGTGAAGGCCACCTGCAAAGTTCCCGGGCTGAAGTCAGTGCCCTGGCCCAACAAAGAGACTATTTAAAAGATGAACTTGATACGGTTCACCGAGAGCTTAAATATGCATATAGACTGCAAAGTGACTCTGAAAGGGAAATGCACACCACAGAATTTCCCCTAACCAGCAGATTGATACCTCCTAGTCAAGGGTTTCCAGTTCGAAAGGGGGGTGAGAGCCCACTGCTCAAGACATCACCTGCCAGCATCCCTGAACCCCCAGCAGCAGCAAGGGGGTGGGAGCCTTTTCAAAGGCTGTCTTCCAGTCACGGTGTGTCACCTAAAGGATTGGATAAGCTGGCTAGAAACATTCCCACTTTCACTCCAAACCCTGCAGGAGGCCACGACGTGCACGCCTACATAAAAGACATTGACTTTCACTTGCAAACTGTTGCCAATGTTACTACACGAGACGGACTCTATCTGCTCAGGATCACCTCCAGCCGTGAGGTGCGGAGCTTTCTAGACTGGCAGCCAGAAACAGTCAAAGTGGATTACCAGCAACTGCAGCAGGTTTTGATTAAGGAGTTCTCTGACCCAGAGTCAGAGCAAGGACTGATTACTGCCATGGACCTTAAACAGGGCAGACAGGAAAACACGCAGGCCTACTACAACAGGCTTAGACAGGCCTACTTTGGAGCACGGAACGAGCCAGGAATGGAAGATGATTTCAACTTCAAAACTCTGTTCCTCCGGAACCTGCACCCAACAGTGAGCCACCACCTGGGGGTTCTGGCTTGCCCACGGACTATGTCCACCCAACAGCTGCGAGATTTGGCCCATAAGGCCTATGCCAAACAAAGGACTGCTTCTGAAAAGACAGGAAAAAACCCCACAATCTATCCTGTCACTAATCAGAGTTCTGAACTTGCTCTAGAGGGCGCCGAGCCAAGCCACACTGACAAACCTGTCAACACAATGTCAAGGTCCTTCCCAACCAGCAGAGAGCAGCATGGCCATGGTGGTGCCCGTCCTAAGCACCAGTATGAGCGCCCCGAGAGATCCTGGGACAGGTCACAACCACCCCTCAACCGAAGGGGTGGAGCCACATGGGAAGCCAAGAGACGGCCCAAGGGGAACCGACACTCACAGACACAAGCACCAAGCTCGGACTGCCAGCAGCAGAACCCCTCTCAACAGGCCCTGGACAAGCCCAAATATAAACCATCCACAGAACAGAACCAGAAAGCTACATCTGAATCAGCAGAGATCATGAGACTTTTAAAGGAACTCCTCCAAGAAAAGCACCATAAGGGAAAGAAAAGGGATGAGTCAGATCAGCTATGACTAAGCATTAGCTCTGACCCCAACGCCCACTCAGAGTCCCCTCAAAATGAACTTCCCAACCAGATCACTGCTAATCCACTGTTAACCACAGAACCAGATATCTCATCACCAAGTGGTGACATCACTCAACCACCTCAGCTGACTGTGGAACCACCAGAACCAGCCAACATCCCGCAACACACCTCCAGCCAGGACTGCAAAGTACCAGAAAGTGCGGTTTTGGTGGTCTGCCTCCCTGACGAGCCACACAAGACCAGCTCTGACTGCTTGCCAGTCACCACACAAGCCCCAGTGCCGAGACTCCTAGGGAACCTAATCGAAAGGGGGGTGGCCAAAAAACTCTACCTGGCCATCACATTAGAAAATGAGGTGAGACTGGAGGCCCTGGTGGACACGGGAGCTGACCTCACTTTAATGTCTAGCCAACTTTTTGACAGACTTCAAAGTGAAGCCAAGAGACAGAATCGAACTCTTAACTATCAGAGGTGTGTGCTGAATGTGCAATCCTACAGCCAAAATGAGGTCCAACTTGAACAGGTAGCTCCAATTCACCTGACCATCGGCCCTATGAACTTTGTGCACCCTGTGTACATTTCTCCATTGGACACATATCCTCTCCTCATTGGCAAAGACCTGCTAGATCGCTTTGAGCCATTGCTAGATTTTAAACAACTGAAAATCTGGGCTCAAGTGCGAGAACCTCTGCCTCCTCAGTCACCAAGACCACCCCAGACAGACTGTCAGGTCACAAAGGTCGCGGGAAATCTCGCCGCCAGCCGCGGGAACGTCTCGGCCCAAGAGCAAAGTTCAAGGTCGCTGCTCTGTACTTTCCAGTTAGCCAAAGACTCTGACACATACGGCCCCCACGTTAAGGGGGGCTTACAACTGAATGATGTCACAACAACAGACCCCATACTAGCACTGTGGGCAGACAATTCAGCCATCAGCCTCTCACAGTTCAATGCTCTCAAACAGCACACAACGAACATTCCTTTTGCTAACAAGCGCACACGATTCCCCTTGAATCCCTGCCTTGGCCCATAAGGCCTATGCCAAACAAAGGACTTCTTCTGAAAAGACAGGAAAAACACCCACAATCTATCCTGTCGCTAATCAGAGTTCAGAACTTGCTCTAGTGGGCGCCGAGCCAAGCCACAGTGACAAACCTGTCAACACAATGTCAGGATCCTTCCCAGCCAGCAGAGAGCAGCGTGGCCATGGTGGTGCCCGTCCTAAGCACCAGACTGGGCGCCCCGAGAGATCCTGGGACAGGTCACAACCACCCCTCAACCGAAGGGGTGGAGCCACATGGGAAGCCAAGAGACGGCCCTAGGGGAACCGACACAAGCATCGAGCTCGGACTGCCAGCAGCAGAACCCCTGTCAACATGCCCTGGACAAGCCCAAATATAAACCACCAGCAGAACAGAACCAGGAAGCTACATCTGAATCAGCAGAGATCATGAGACTTTTAAAGGAACTCCTCCAGAAAAAGCACCACAAGGGAGACAAAAGGGATGAGTCAGATCAGTTATGACTAAGCCTGAGATCTGACCCCAACGTCCACTCAAAGTCCGCTCAAAATGAACCTCCCAAATAGATCACTGCTAATCCACCGTTAACCACAGAACCAGATATTCCGCACCACACCTCCAGCCCAGACCGCAAAGTACCAGAAAGCTCGGTTTTGGTAGTCTGCCTCCCTGACAGGCCACACAAGACCAGCTCTGACTGCTTGCCAGTCACCACACAAGCCCCAGTGCCAAGACTCCTGGGGAACCTAATCGAAAGGGGGGTGGCCAAAAAACTCTACCTGGCCATCACATTAGAAAATGAGGTGAGACTGGAGGCCCTGGTGGACACGGGAGCTGACCTCACTTTAATGTCAAGCCAACTTTTTGACAGACTTCAAAGTGAAGCCAAGAGACAGAATCGAACTCTTAACTATCAGAGGTGTGTGCTGAATGTGCAATCCTACAGCCAAAATGAGGTCCAACTTGAACAGGTAGCTCCAATTCACCTGACCATCGGTCCTATGAACTTTGTGCACCCTGTGTACATTTCTCCATTGGACACATATCCTCTCCTCATTGGCAAAGACCTGCTAGATCGCTTTGAGCCATTGCTAGATTTTAAACAACTGAAAATCTGGGCTCAAGTGCGAGAACCTCTGCCTCCTCAGTCACCAAGACCACCCCAGACAGAATGCCAGGTCACAAAGGTCGCGGAAAATTTCGCCGCCAGCCGCGGGAACGTCTCGGCCCAAGAGCAAAGTTCAAGGTCGCTGCTCTGTACTTTCCAGTTAGCCAAAGACTCTGACACATACGGCCCCCATGTTAAGGGGGGCTTACAACTGAATGATGTCACAACAACAGACCCCATACTAGCACTGTGGGCAGACAATTCAGCCATCAGCCTCTCACTGTTCAATGCTCTCAAACAGCACACAACGAACATTCCTTTTGCTAACAAGCGCACACGATTCCCATTGAATCCCTGCCCATCAGCTATGGTGACTGCCAAGGGCACCTGTGCCCTGAACTTGAGGTGGAATGACAGGTGTCTAACCCATTACTTCCTGGTCCTTCCAGACGCACCGCATGACGTCTACATCGGAGCGGACATGCTGATTCGCCTCAGGACTCATGTGGACATGATCAATATGGGCTCCAATGACCTCACAGTCACCCACAGTCCCTGGCAACCTTAAGAACGTCCTGTCAGGCCAAACCATCCCTGAGGCCTGCACGCTAATCAATGAACAAGAGACTGTAGTACCAGCTTACACCAAAGGGGTCGCTGTTTGACTCAACCTGCGAAGCGGCCAAGCTCTCAGCCACACCCTAGGCTTCTTCCAACCTTCACCCAAATGTGGGGAACTGGGCCTCACTTTGGAAGCCACACCCCTCATTGAAGTGACATCTCGGGCAGTCCACATCTTGTTCAATAACTGCACGGCAACAGATGTCAGAGTGCCTAAGGCGTACCGTCTGGGTTGGCTAGTGAGTTATGACTTCCATGACTTTGAACTAATTCTACCAATAATTGGACCCATCTCACATTCAATGATTCCAGAAGAAAGCTCAGGCCACACAGTGTCAACAGCACCCTTCAAGATCATCACCATAACCTCAGTCATGCCAGTGGTCAAGGAGCAGGTGTGTAGAACAGAACTAACAGAAGACCAACACTTTGCCGTGTACACGGTCTCTAACCACTCCACCTGCATAAATGACAGCGTGACTGCACCTCTGACCGCCCACGGCACAGAGGAATTAATGACAGAAGAGCCATACCCAGGTTTTGAGACACAAGTCCAGCAAATTCTGAAAGATGCTGATGCCATACAGGAGGATGCAGACCGCCACAAACTCCGTCAAGTCCTGTACAAATACAAGGAATCATTTGCCAAGGACTCTTTAGATTGTGGCCTCACTAACCTCCATGTTGTGCGTGTCCCAACGCACCCAAAAGCTCCACCCACTTTTGTCAAGCAATACAAGATCCCCCTTGAATCGTACGAACCCGTACAGGAGATCATCAACTCTATGCTTGAGAAGGGTGTCATTCGTCCGTGTAACAGCACCTACTCTGCCCCCATCTGGCCTGTCATCAAATCAAAGACTCAACCTGCGAAGCGGCCAAGCTCTCAGCCACAACCTAGGCTTCTTCCAACCTTCACCCAAATGTGGGGAACTGGGCCTCACTTTGGAAGCCACACCCCTCGTTGAAGTGACAGTGTACATCCTGTTTAACAACTGCACGGCAACAGATGTCAGAGTGCCCAAGGCCTACCATCTGGGATGGCTAGTGAGTTATGACTTCCATGACTTTGAACTGATTTTACCAATAATTGGACCCATCCCAGATTCAACTAAAGTTCCAACAGGTAACTCTGGAGGTCCTCTATATTTTCTTCCAAGCAAAGGTCCGGACAAAAAACAAAACAAAACAAAACAAAACACATTTTTACATGTAGCCTTTTGTATTTTTACATTTAGATACATGCCAGGCCATGTGACAGAAAAAGTACTGTTCCTCTTTAGGAACTCGAGCTGCGTCGGAAAACGCTTCGGGAACGCCTTCTGTGACCACGCTCTGAATCACATGTGAAATCAGTCCAATAGCTGAGCGGGACGTCACGGGCGGGTGACGTCATGACCAGGAAGCTATAAAAGCACGTGCGGCGGAGCCGGCGTCAGCTTTCTGTCATTCAGCGAAGCGCTCTCTATGTGTCAGTCATATTTATTGTTGTCTGTCAATTGTGAATAAGTTCATAAGCTCCAGCTATGTCTAAGGCTCACGCTAAGACTAAGCATTTCAAGGGCGAGAGCAAGCCACGTTATAGGTTGTCCCTGCCCACGTTACATCATGGGTGGGGATACACACAGCCTGTGCGTGATTTGCTTTCGAGCGAAGCACGCAGAGTCGGCTCTCGAGGGGGCTGGCTGCCCGCATTGCGAGCGTCTCCCACTGCATACGCTTCGCTCCCGGAGGGCTCTCTTCGAGGAGGAAGCCTTCGCCAGCGTTCCTCGCGGTGCTGGCCCCGCTTCCGTCGAGGCGGAGCGGCGGCTGCATTCGTGGGGTTCGCAATTGGATCTGGCAGAGGGAATGGAGACGGGTGAGTCCCTATCTCCTTCCTCACCCGCTAGATCCAGCACCCGATCTCTGGGTTCGGAAGCCCGTTCTGCGGCTACTTCCTCCCGGGATGAGAGCTCGACGCTCCACCTGTCTTCCTCCGAGGAGGTTGACGTGGAGGGCGTCAAAGAGGTTTCGCCCCCTCAATCGCTCCAGTATGAGGAGCTAGTGGAGGTGCTTACTCGCGCCGTGGCCAAATTAAAGATCGGCTTGGCCCGCCGAGAAGCAGACCGAGCCGCAGCGAAGAAGCAGTGAAGCAAGTTGGATGAACGCTTCCTGCGCACGAGGCCACCACCTCCATGCCTGCCTTTTTTCCCCGACCTTCACACTGAGGTGTCGAGGTCATGTGCCAGGCCTTTTTCGGCCCGTCTCTTCATCCTTGCCTCTGATTATTATGGGAATGTGGCGGGGTTGACTGAGCATGGCTATAGGGCGATGCCCCGGGTTGAACAGACGCTAGTCAGCTATCTGTCCCCAGGCATGGCATCGTCCTTAAAGGCTCCGGCACTGCCCTCCAAGCCACTGCGTACAACATCAGCGCTGGTGGGCAAGGGGTACGCGGCAGCAGGTCAGGCCGGTGCGTGTCTGCACACGATGTCTGTGTTACAGGCGTACCAGGCAGACTGGTATTACGGCTGATCACTGAGACGGCCAGCGATTCATTGAACGAGCCATATAACATCAACTCTGCAATGGATATTAATATTCAAAATATAGTGAAAACACTATTAATTAGCACAGTAACAAGATCGGCAGTTTAAGACATTAACTTGCAAGCACAAAACACAAGATACTTCTCTTTTCAATATAAATAAGGCTTTATTGGATAAATCTAAGACATATAAATTAATCTAACACATAAACACACGCATTCACACAAGTTGCAGAAAGAGAGAAAGTGAGGAAATAATTAGTTTAAGTGGATGAAAATGTGAAATCCCAAGTTTATAGAAATATGTGCAATTGCATAGACCTAAACAACCATCAATCACTTAAGCAATGATTTGATATATGATTGATATATGATTGAGTATAATTTTGGACATGATTTCTATAACAAGAATGATACATTTGGTTTCAAGCAAGGAGATTCAAACACACACATACTAAACATAAATATGAACCCTTAAGCTATTCAATAGTTATTCAAAATACACACACAATAAGTGATTAGAACCTGATAGTCACACATGTGGGTTACATACATAATATGGAGTTATGCATAGAAATGATTAGTTGCTCACAAGTCCTTTTAGTGTCATTTAGGTGCATGGAAAGGCAGTTTCTGTGCCATTCTGTGAAGAAGGACATGTTCTGTGAAGACCAGAGTTTAAGAGGTCTGTAAGGAATCTCAGTCTGTTCTTTGTCTTCTAGGTGGGGGAAAGTCAATCCACAGAGCTCGTGACCATGATTACTATCACTGGTTCACATGTGATGGTCATGCTGTGCATCTCTATGACCATTTACTTGATTATTGATTCTTCTGGCTCTTTAACTAAAAATCCATCTGATATCAATGATGTTTTTTTCTCTTATTATTCCAACCTTTATAAATCAGAACCTCCTGGGGATGATTCCATCATGGATCATTTTTTAGACAGTCTAGATATTCCTCGTATTGATGCAGCTGTAGAAGCTGTAGCTGATAAGCCTCTACAGTTAGATGAGATTTTGAAAGGTCTTCAGCTTATCAAAT